GCGGGGCTGCAAGGCAGGACGGCCCGGCCCGGCCCGGCCCGGCCCGGCCCGGCCCCGAGGGCGCCCGGAGCTCCTTGCACCGCAGGAAGGCGGCGCGGGGACGGGGGGGCCCGGCAGCCCGGCCAAAGCCCGGCTTGCAGGGCGCCCTCTGCGGGAAAGGCTTTCCCGAGGGGTGGGCGTTGCAGCCCCCCAGCTCCGGGCCTCAGCCCTGGGAGCAGCGGCGCCCAGGAACGGCCTCTCCGCTGCCCCGTTCGGACGGCTGCTTGCCTCTCACGGCCCCTTTGGAAGGGCCTGGCTTGGGGTCTCCATCCGCGCGCATTTTCTGGGCATGGGGCTGCGCCCCGCTGAAGATCCAGAAAGGGCCCTCATTTCCACACAGCCTCCCAGACGGGGGTCCGGCCCCTTTGCGCCTGCTCTCCTCCCTCCCCGGCTGGCGTCGTGGCTTGGCTCGCTCTCTTGAGTCGTGCGGACTTATTTGCCCCGACTGCGCTGTGACCTGTCCCGTCCCGACTTGTTAAGATGGCTTCCTTCATTCCACGCCGCTTGCACACGGGGGCGGGGGGGGGGGCTGCCAAAGTTGCTGTCTCAAGGGCTTGCTCTGAAGATGCAATCTTACGCGTGTCCGAACATGCACAAGGGACTGCAACTCCCTGAGCTTCATTAGGTCTAAACATGCCAACGGTTGTGCTCGCACTGGGCTATGGAAGCTGGCGAATGGGCTAGTTGAAGCGTGTGTGCTAGAGTCTTGAAAAGTTTTGAGCCCTCTTGAAATTCTCTTGAACCCCCGCCCCCAAGATGATTTCCTTTAGTTTTTTACATTCTGCATGCTTTTGGGTGGCAGGCACGGCCTCCTTGCGTTCATGGCGGTCTGTCCTCACGACATCCCTGTGAGGTAGGTTCGCCCGAGGAAGAGCAAGGGGCCAAACTGACCGAGCGTGGCTCTCCCAATCCCATATCCAGTGCGTAGCTGCTACACTAAAATGTTGCTTCCAGTGTCTGCTCTGCATGTTACTGTCCCCCGTCGCAGGGTTTACTGATAGCAAGAGTCTCCACTTTGCAGCCCTGGAAAGTTGCACAGAAATGCACGTTTTCGTATCCAAAAGTTCTGTTTGAAGCAAGCAAACCTTGTCGTGATAGCGGGTTGTCGCGCAGCTGTGCTCTGGCCGGGCTTGTGCTCTCTAGATGGCAGGCAGAGGTTGGGGGCTCCTCTCCCTTGCCTTGACCCAAAGCCGGGCTCAGCGTCTAGAAACCGACGCCGTTTCTCCTGAGTGGCGGGGGCTCCGAGGACCAGTGCGCATCTAAATATTGTGTGCACACACACCTCTGGGAAGCGGAACCCAGGCGTCCGGGCAGCTCCCGCTTCCCTGCCTTGCGAGCTCCCAGAATCCCCCAGGCCACCTCCCGGGCCCTGTTTTTGGCTCCTCATGCTGCCTTGTCTTTCCCCAGCTTCCCTCGTGATGTCTGGCCCCACCTGGCTTCCCCCAAAGCAGGTGAGCGTCCCAGGCCAGCCTGGCATCGCAGTTTCCCCTCCGGCACTTTGCAAGTCCCAGAAGAGCTTCGCCCCCATTCCTGCCGCTCCGAAACCCGCCTACGAGCCCCAGGAGGCCAATGGGACCATGAGTGCCACTGGGCCATCTCCTCACTACCAGCCCCAGGTGCCAGGTAACTTGGTTCGGTGCTACTTAGCAGGGCTGTGGGCAGAAACGGAAATTTCGGGAAGCTCCATACTCTGTGCTATTATTCGAACACGTAGGGGGAAGATGGGGGCCATGAGTTCTGCAACAGTCTTGCTTTCTGCTATTTCCCTATTCTCCAAGTTTGCATAATGCTGTTTCTGAACGACTCCTACTGACAGCCCTTTGAGGTCGGCCGCTGGGTGCCGTTTGCAAAGGCTGGGGCAGAAAACCTGTCCGTAGCGGATTTGACTCGAGATTTTCTAACCCAATGGCATCTTTTCCTCCTGATGCTCCGTTGACGCTTCCTGACCAGAATTCCTGACAATTTCGTGGCTTCGGTCGCAGCAAGCCCTGGCATGTGTCTTGCGTTGTGTGTTGTGGGCGTCCTCCTCTCTGGGGCGCTGGCTTGGAAAAGAAGCGGGCCCGGCTGGAGGCCGGGAGGTGGCTGGGAATGGAAACGGTACATTTGGTGGGGGACAAGAAAATACAGGCTGCCCAGCTGGGGGTTTGATCACCTGGAATGGAAAGAGGGCTGATTTTTTTCAGCAACCTTCCCCAGCTGGATCACAACTCACAGCACGTTGGCATTTCTTGCCTGCAGATTTTGGGGTGGCTCTCTTGTAAAAGGGCAGTTTTGAGGGATTTGTCAGCGATGGGGGGGCCGTCTGTTGGTCGTGGGAGTCAGGAGAGGAGACGCTGCTATTCGGAGACGCGGAACGGCTGCCGAACTGCAGGCTTGTCCTGAGAGCTCCGTGCTAATCAAATGGTACAAAGATGTTTTAAACAAATGCATGGCCCAATTTTTCCTGCCTCTCTGACCACCTGGTGGCTTTAGTGGTGGATGCCTGGAACGGGGGGGGGGGGGGGGGGAGCCGCGGGGGGGCCGGGCTGCGGGGGGGGGGGTCTCTACGGGGGGGGCCGTTGCACATTGGCCGAGGTACCCAACCTCTTGCGATCTCAGCTTCTGTTTACCTGGGAATCTGATCCTCGCGGGTTCAAGGGGCTTCCTAGCTTTGAAGCATTTCTTCAAAGGAAAAGCCAGGTGAATGGAGAAGGGGGAAACATTTGCTTTTTCATCCACATGCTGAGGGAGAGCAAGAGGGGGGTGAGTGAGCAGGGAAAGGACGTTGGGGTCGCACCGGACAGCTCAGCTCAGGGAAAAGACTGACCGGGTGGGCAGCTGCTGTGAAAAAGAGAAATTCTTCTGTCGGGGCTTGTTGGAAAAGAGATTAGAAGTAAAAAGCGAAACACCCTGATGAGGCTTGACCCCCTTGGAAGCGTGCAGTTGGAAAGGGGGCAGAGGAGAGCCCCTGGGACACTCACGCCCTGCCGGGGGCTTCCTGTTGGGGTGGCTGCTTGGCCCCCGCGGGGATGGGCGAAATGGGGCCTGGCCTGGCCTGGCCCGGCCCACGCTGGGGCCTCTTCGGCAGGTGGGACCGGTCACGTCTTGGTGTTGTTGGACTCCAGTTCCCATGAGCTCCGTGAGCCAGTCTGGAGCAGAGCACCCACCGGCCGCGCCCAAGTTCCTTGCTCCCACTTTTTTGGGCAAAGAACAACGTGGACACAGGCTGGGGTTGGTGGGAGCTGTGATCCCACTCATGGGGAGGGTGCTGGTGTGGGAGAAGCTGTGGCGTATGGGCAGAGGGGCACCCACCCACTGACCGCTCCCCCTTTTCCTCCGCCTCTCCACCTTCCCAGGGCCGCAGGATTCCAAAGGTGAACCCCAGTATTCCTCTGTAAATGAGCGGGGAGCGGGGGGCTCCTGGGGCAGCATTTCCCCCCCCCAACTATCCGCTGCAGGTAAGCGAGGCCTGCTGAGCATCGGGGAATTCCGCACGTGGCTTTGGGTCCTCTTTCCAGCAGTGGGAATAAGTGAGGGCAGGTTGTTGACCCTGGAGAAACGCCGACTGCCCCCATGAAATCTCACCTGGGGGGGCTGTGCTGAATCGAGGGGTCCCTCTAGAAGTTATCCCCTGGAAAAAAGGTCTGCCTGCCTTCCCTCCTCCCTCCCTCCTTGACCAACTTCACCTTAAGTTTGGCCATTTGCTTCTATGCCCCCATAAAGATCCTGTGCTTTTATAGCTGCATGGCAGGCTGAAATCCCACAGGTGCAGTCCTCCTTGTGCACACCAGGGCCGGGCCGGAAGCGGAGCTCCTGATGTTTTGAACGTCGCCTCTCAGCCGTCCTCAGCCGAGCAGTCGGGAGTTCTGGGAGCTGAAGTCCAAAACATCTGAAGAGCTACCTTTTGTCCACCCTGGTATACAATACAGTAAAGCAGACCCCCCCAGCCCCCAGTTTAAGGGGGAGGGGGTGTGGCGGAAGCTGGGCACAGCCTGGCCTTGCAGAGGCCCCCTGGAAGGGACTGGACCCCCTCCCTTCGCCCGGCCTCCTGCCCCTCCGGCTCCAAGCGATTGGGGGATTCCTTTCCCTCCTGTCCCACCTTTTCCCACCTGTCCATTTCTCCCAGCAGGGGGGCTCCATGGAGCAGGGACTACACCGCCCATCCAGCATCGACCTGCAGATCGACTCGCTGACCAGTATGCTGGCCGACATGGAGAGCGCCAGGAGCCGTCGGGGCGAGAGGCAGGTCGGGAAGCTGTCCCGGAATTCCGGGGGGCGGGTCCCCGGCGCCTTCCCCCCACCTGGCGCTTGACTGCGTTTTCTCCTGCCCTGCAGAACCTGGAGCCCACTCCGTACCCCACCAGCCTGCCACAGCCGGGGGGCGCCAAGCCCACAGCAGCCTACAAGCCGGGCCTTTCCGGAACCTTCTCTCCCGCCAAGGCTCCTGCGTTCTCCACTGATACCTACACCAAGAGCGGGCCTTACGCGGGCGGCCCGCCGACCCCCACTCCGTCCTACCCACCTGTCTCGGGGCTGCCCGCGCAGTATGGGGGCCCCATTTCCAGCGACCCCTTCCCTGCTGGCTACCACCGGGCAGCTGCGCCCCCGAAGCCGTACCCCCAGCCGATGCCGGCCTCGTACGCAATGGCATCCTCTTCCGCCGGCCCGCTCTTCAATGTGCAGGTGAAGGTGGCCCAGCCTGTCCTGGGCTACAGCCAGCCCCGGCGCAGGGCCGAGCAGGCGTACGGCCCCCCGTCGCCCCGGCCGGGCTGCGGGGCCAAGCCACCCCCGCAGTTCGCCCCGGAGCCGGGGGTGAGGGGCCGGCCCCACGACACGGAGCCCTGGGGCCCGGACCCACCCGCCTATGGCCGGCGGCTGGGCGAGGGAGAGTTCTACGCTGGCCCCGGGGGGCACGCCAAGCTGGGGGCGCCGATGGGGCCATACCAGCCCGCCAAGCCTGGAAAGGAGGAGCCGGCCCTGGGGGCGCCGATGCCAGCCGGCGGCGGAGCGCTGCGGTACCAGCACCAGGTAAAGGCGGCTGGAGCGGGGAACCGGGCCGGGGGATCTGGGCTGGCTGGGCAGTGAGGGATTGGCAGGAGAGGGGCCGGAATCCGGAGCCTTCTCTACCTGGGGGGCACATTGAATCCCAGAGCTGGGGGGGCATGTTTTTAGTGTCAGTGATTGTATCCCACTCCTCCCAGGGTGGCCCACACTCAGGCAGTGACATAAGACAGTCCGTGGAGGCTCAGTCTAAACAAAGTCACAGCACGCAAGGAAACATGGCTGAGGAGGGCAAAGGGGAAAGGTTTGCCTTTGCCCAGTCCACCAACCCGCATCTCTTTCTGGAGGTCCAAAGTGTCCAGGGAACCATCCCTTTGGCCTGAATCCCAAATGTTTTGGGTAGGGCTTTTGTGGCTCTGGTTGCTGAGTACGGAGGTGAAGGGCACTCTGCACATGCACTGAAGTGGGCCCTATTCTGGATTTCTCCCCCCCGCCCCCATGCTGAGCCCTGGCAAAGAAGAGTAGGCACGGGGGCTGACCCTGGAGAGTGGGCAGCCAAACCAGTAGCCTGCCCCTGTCCTTAGTGGGGCCGTGCCGTCCCTGTGGCTAGAACTTTGTAGGGGCACAAAGAATTCCCCGCCCGCACGGGGCTTACAATCTGCACAGAAATGTCCGTGGCCCCGAAGGCTCTCGCCTGCAAGAGGGAACAGGGCTGTGGGACAGCGGGGAGCCTGGTGGGTACAAAGAGGAAAGCGCTTGGCACTCCTTTCCTCCTCCCTCTCCTCTCTTCTCAGGCTCCCCCAAGCCGCCCCGAAGAGGAATTGGACCGGCTCACGAAGAAACTGGTGTACGACATGAACAACCCCCCTTCCGGAGAATATTTTGGTGAGGCTTCTGGAATTAGGGGATCCAGTCCTCCAAGACTGGGGAGGGAGAGAGGCTGGTGGTCATGGGGGCTGTGTAGAGCCTCCACCCTTAGGAGAAGTCTACCTCCGAATCCCAGGGGCAGGGGTCGCAGCACAAGGAGAGGCCATCACCGCCCTCAGCACCTGGCCAGCTGCTGGTGCATGACGCACGGCCTGTTTTTTGTCACGCTGCGCTCGTTTCGTCGCCCAAATCCAGCCGCGGGGATTTGCCCCTGTAACTCGCTGTCAGGGTCAGCCATGCCAGGGCAACGTTTCTCCCTCCGACGTCCAAGGCCCCGAAGGAGTGAGCCGCACTGCAGGGCTGGCCGTTACCCCTTCCTGCAAGCAGGAGAGGTGCCGTCGAGCCGCGGGGGGGGACTGCCCCCCCCGGCCCCCCCCAACGCTCCCTCCTGCCTTGCAGGCCGCTGCGCCCGGTGCGGGGAGAACGTGGTCGGCGACGGCACGGGCTGCGTGGCCATGGACCAGGTCTTCCACGTCGAGTGCTTCACCTGTGGCACGTGCCGCTGCCGTCTCCGTGGGCAGCCGTTCTACGCCATCGACCGGCGCTCCTTCTGCGAATCCTGCTACATCGTGAGTGGGGGGAGGCTGCGGGGTGGGGGGGAGGCCCCAGGAGCCCGGGGAGGCGAGGCGCTTGGGGAGGGGGCCACGGAGCGGGGCCACGCTTTCCGGCTGTCCCGGCACGCCTCCCGGAGGCTCTGTCCTTGGGCCGTGTGCAGTGCGAGGGGTCCTGCTGCCGGCTGCCGGCTTGGCCTGGGGGGCGCGTGGGCGGGCAGAGCCGCAGGTGGAGGGCAGCGGCAACGAAGGCTTTTAGAGGCGCCCCATAGCGATCCTGCTGGCCCGTGGGAGGGCCCCCCCGCCGGCGTCACGCAAGCCGGCCTGGGCGGTGCGGCTCTCGCGTCGCGAGCACGGCCGATGTGCCCGCCACGGGCTTCGGGGAAGGCCCTCCGGTTCCCGGCCAGTGCGCTCCTGCCGGCCCTCCGCACCGTGCTTTGGCTGGGCCCCGGAGCGCAAGCGCATGGTGCCCGTTACTGCCACACACATCCAGCAGTCTCCGATTCACGGGGCCCTGCGGAACTGCCCGTCCCCACACACACTGACAACAGAAGCAGACAGGAAGTTGGCCAGACAAGCCTGCGCACGCCGGGCAGCCGCACGAAAGACGTTGCGAAAGACGGACAAGAAACGTTCTTTTAAAAATGGCAGACACGGCCCCGGTTGTGCTTTTCTGAGGTTCCACGTTTTTGGCAATGGAACAGCAGCAGGCCGAAGGGGCAGCGATCGGGACGGGAGGGTTCAGCAGCTGCGGTCCCAGGCCAGACCCCAAACCCAGGAGGCCCCTAAGCAACCCCCTGACGTTCCACAGACCACGGGACCTGCTCGTGGGCCAGCAGGAGCATCCACGGCCAGCGTTACAGTTCTTGCCAAAAACCCCCACTTTGTGGCCGGCGAGCACATAGGTCCAGGGGCTCATTTTTAGGTTTTGACATGAAATGCACGTTAGCTTTTTATAACCCTTTCATTCCTGGATCGATGTGTCAAGCGGGAGGGTGGCGGAAGCAACGTGGCACCAGAAGCGGGTGTGCGCACCCCTGCTTTCCTTTGAAAGCGGGGACAGCAAACCATCCTGCCCTAACAGATCGGGAATGGAGAAGTCAGCCCCGCCTGCTTCGCCAGAGGTGGAGGATGATGGGCGTTGTTGGCCCAGGCACCCGTCGGTGTGGGTTTCGGTTGGCTGGGCAGTACCTTTGCGCCGTCCTTTTCCCGCCAGGTGACCCTGGAGAAATGCTCCATGTGCTCCAAGCCGATCACGGACCGGATCCTGCGGGCCATGGGCAAAGCGTACCACCCACAATGCTTCACCTGCGTCATCTGCCACCGGTGCCTGGACGGGGTCCCATTCACCGTGGACGCCACCAGCCAGATCCACTGCATCGAAGATTTCCACCGGTAAAGAGCCTCCGCCGGAGAACTCGCCCGCTGGCTGGTTACGGGCCGCCCCTGAATCCTCCTGTGCTCCAGTCCTGCCTGGGGATGATGGGGGCAGCAGTCTGAACGCACAGAGGGCTGCAGGGAGGCGACTTTGCAGGACAGTGAGGCCTTTGCGTTTGCTTCTCTGTAGAAAATTTGCCCCACGGTGCTCCGTGTGTGGAAACGCCATCATGCCGGAGCCCGGGCAGGAGGAGACGGTGAGGATTGTCGCTTTGGACCGCAGTTTTCACATCGGCTGCTACAAGTGCGAGGTGAGGAGAAAAGGGCCCGTGAGGATGCTGGTCAGGCGCCTCCGGCCTCTCCGGCGGATGGAGACGCGCCTTTCCGAGCGTTTTGGAGACCGGGGGGCCAGCCTCTCAGGCTTGCAGGCCACAGCCGACCCTCTTGGGCTTCCACCTTGCTAGCCAGAGCCCGTTTCCCAGGGCCCGGCCTTTGCACGTGTCCCCCTGCCGTCGCCGACAGTTGAAATGGCCTCTCCAGAGTCACACACCGACAGGGCAGGTAGTCTGGCTCTCGTGGCTCTGCCCGGCTGCGGAAGGCACCTCCTTTCCCCCACTGCGGGACTTCTCCCCAGCAAGCAAATTGCATCATTCAACTCTGCATGCTGGGAAAAAGCCCTTCCGTCCGTCCGTCATGACTCTCTCTGCACCCAGCCTTGTCTGCGAACCCCTTTAGGTTCTTGTCGAATAAGAAAGAGGGTGACCTGCCTCCCATCCATTTTCTCCGCTCTGCTCCGATTTAAAAAAATAAAATGCTGGGCTTCGTTCTGCAACACTTGCAGCAGCAAGAGCACACACGAGCACGTGCAGAGTGCCTGCGGGGCGAGAGCCTCAGCGTTGCCCCGCCTGCCCTTGCACCCCCCTGCAGTTGGGGGCAGGGTCCCAGCTCGGCCGGTGGGTGTGATGTGGGGGCTGCGTCAGTTCGGGACCCCTGGATTCCGGGGGGGAGCGGGGCGGAAGACGGGGGGGGGCCGGCGCACCACTCACGCTGCTTCCTTGTCCCAGGAGTGTGGGCTGCTGCTCTCCTCCGAGGGGGAGGGCCGAGGCTGCTACCCGCTGGACGGCCACATCCTGTGCAAGAGCTGCAGCGCGCGCCGCATCCAGGAGCTCTCCTCCAAGATCACCACGGACTGCTGATGCACGGGGGCTGCCCCACAGCGCCCCCGCCGCCCCCCGTCCCTCGGGCCTCTGGGCCCCGCCTTGCTGCCCGCGCCTGTCCTCGCACACCCGGCTCCCTTCGCGCAGCCCTTGCCCCCCTCCTCACTGACTTTCCGGGTGCGTGTTCCCACACCTCACTCTTCGGTAACGGTCCCCCCACCCGCGTGTGGGGGCAGATGTCTCGTCGTGCGGGGCGAGGTTCTGGCCCGCTCCCCCCGCCTCTTCCGTACCTGGGCAACAGCCCCCAATCGCACCGGGCGTTCTGGGATCGCCTCCGTGTTCCTGCCGCCCCGCAGCACGACAGACCTGAGCCCCAAACCCATAAGCTGGTCTTAGCTGGTTGGTGTGGGCTTTGTGCCACCCTGGGCCCCGGACTCCTGGGTCCCCCTCCGAGGCCAGGGGCTCCTGCCTTTTAACTGGCCCCAGTGTCCAAGCCCCTGGCTGGGGACTTTTTAATCAACCCTCCGCCTCATCTGACCTCTTTCGTACCCACAAGGTGTGTTGTGCACACTTCTGTGTCCTTTGTGTCCGCATTAATAAAAATAGTTCAGACCTTGCAACTGCCTGGGCCTTGTGGAGACTTGCGTTCAAGGGTGCATTTCGAGACACAGTTAAAAGCTGTGGGGAAATCAACCAAGAGGGCAGGCGAGGAAGCGAAGAAGGAAGGAAATCCTTTTTTCGGTAAATTGGAGTAGTCTATTTTGTTGACTTTTCCAACCGCCTCTTCTCAGACACTTCCGATGTGCAGACAAGTGAGCTAGTAAGGTCCCTTGTGGACTAGAAGCTTGTTTCGGCTGTGCCAGGCAGGGAGTGAGCAAGTTTGGGAGATTATTAGCTCTCTGGGGGCAATAAGAGTGCATTGGGAAAAAGAGGGGCTGCCACATTTTCTCTTTCTATCCCCACCCTGAAAAAACTCTGACTGGGAGGATGGGATATGAGGTTGATGCTTTGTGGATGACACAGGATAGCCTTGCAACACTTGGACTACAGATCCCATTATCCTGAGTGGGGAAGGATGGCTCAGGATTGCTTCTGATACTACCGTTGTCCTTATTTGCTAGCAAGTTCCGGGTGGTGGCCTGTTGCAGCAAAAACAGCCAGGTCTGGCACCTTTGAAAGGCTGACAAAACCTACTCGTTTTGCTGCATTTATCCAGGTTGGGAAGGAATTTTGTGGATGTCTCCGGAAGTGGCAGGCTGTGCTGGTCTTGAGGCAGAATCGGTGCGGCTTCGGGGCCCAACCTGCCTCTGTGCTCCTGGGAACGTGGGCGCTGTCGTGGCCCGTCCACGCCTCGGTCCACCCAGCCCGGGGGCAGCCGTGGCTCTCCCTGCAGGGGCTTCAGGCAAGACTGTTTCCACCCGGCCAGGAGGTGCTGGCAATTGAACCCGGAGCCGTGATTGTGTCAGGCTGGTGCTCCGCCCCTGGGCTGTGATCCTTCCCTTAAAAATAAAGTAAGGTTCTAGTCCTCATGGTTCTGAGGACAAGGCCAGTTTACAAGGAACATCTGAAGCTGTTTGCACTGAGTGATGTGGTCAACACTGACAGACAGGAGCAGCTCTTGCGAAGTTCAGGAAGGCGTTTTCCTGCCCTTTCTGGAGATATCCAAGGGGTCTCACTGGGGACTCACTTCTCTGTGCCAAGCTGGGGCCCTGCCCCCTGCCCATCCCCACATGCCCCCTGCCCATCCCTGGCCCACAGCCAGGAGCCCTTCCGTGAGCACTCCCAGGAGGGGGTTCAGTTCAGGAACAAAACGGGGCCATAAAAGCACCGGGACCCAAAGACAGAATATCAAAAGGCGCCACTAGCAGAAATTTGTCAGGCTTTGCAACCTGGCACCCTCCAGGTGCCTTGGACTACAGCATCCATCATCCCCAGCCAGCTTGGGGACGGTGTGCCTCATTTTAGACCTCTTTCTCCCTTGATGTAGGACTTAGGAGTCTGTGCCGTGCTTAAGGTGCCAGGTGTGTTTTTTGTGGGCACCTGAGGAACCCTGCAAGGTAGACCACTGTGCTTCCGGTTATTAAAAAGGACGGGAGGGAGGGGCTCCCGGGGCCGCGTGGTGGGACGGCGCCCTCCAGATGCCTTGGACTACAGCGCCCATCATCCTCAGCCCGCTTGATTTGCTCCCGCAGTGGCCCGGCGCCTGGGTGCGAGGCCGCTGTCTTTCACAGCACTGCTCGGGGAGCCAGCCCCTCTCCCCCCGCCCCATATTCCGCGGCGGGGGGGGGGGTCTTCTAAGCACCCTCGCGTGCCCAGGATGGAAGCCCCTCGCCAGTTCCCCCTTGGGCCATTCTGGGAGTCCCGCCTTCCTCTTTGCTAGCTGCTCTCCAGACCCCTCCCCCACAGGGTAGGGGGGATTCTGGAGAGGTTGAGACCCCCGCAAGTTGACCCCCTGCAAATTCTGCCCCCCCCCCCCCCCCGCCGGCCTCTCCCATTGGCTGGGCGCGCAGCGGCTGCCCCGCCGCCCCCGCCTCATAAGCGCCAGCGCGGCGCACCGGCTCGCTCGCCCCGAGGTCCGGGCCGCCTGCGCGGCGCAGCCATGCGGCTTCCCCCGCTGTGCCGGGCGCTGCAGGGCACCGCGCCCCCCCTCGCCATGGGGCGCCTGCTCCCCGAGGGGCGCCGAAGCTGGGGCGCCCTTGCGGGACGGGGGTCTGCGGCCAAACCTGTTGGGCTTCGTCACCCTCATCCCCAGCCAGCAGGGGCTGAGCTGGACGTGGTAACCCAACGCACCGGAGGGCTTCCCGTTGGAGCGGGGGGGGTCGAGGTCTCGGGCTGCCGGATCTCCGCCTTGCTCGGATCGGGCTTCCCGGCTTGTGGGGACGGCCTTCCCCAGGCACGCGCCCCTCAGGTGTGCTGGGCTGCAGCCCCCGTCGTGGTTGGGGCGGGGGGTCGGGGCCAGCTTCCCCCCGCTGTGCGCTTCGCTCCAAACGCGGGGAGGTGACGTTTGAGCTCCAGGGTGCGGGACCAGGGTTAAAGGGCTGGAAACCACAAGGAGGGAGCGCCCCAAAGCTGGGCCAGGAATGCCTCTGGGGCGGGTGGGGGCTCGGCGCAGGGGGGGCTCGGCGGAGGCGCCTCCGGAGAGCCGGACCGGGGAGCCGCTGGGCCGTCCCGCCGGGGTGCGGCGGCTGCCCGTCCGCAGTGCTGGGAGGGCTTGGGGGCCGCTATTCTTATTTTATATTGTTAATTTGTTTTATATGTTGAATGTATTATATTTTAATTTATGTTGTGAGCCGCCCCAAGGCTTCGGCGAATGGGGCGGCATAGAAATGTTTTAAATAAGTAAGTTCGACCAAGCCAGGCGTGGGTCAGGAGAGGTGCAAACCTTCCTGAGGAATCCAGGCTGCAGAGGAACTGCTCGTGTGAAACAGAATGCGGGGGAAGCAGGGCCGGGGGACTTCTCGGAGGGGGGGTCTTGGGGAGGGGGACTCATGCACCATCAGCTTGCATGCCACTTTCTAAACTATCCAGGCCTGGTCTCTGCCCCGAGGAACTTACAATGTTACGATGTTGGCAGGGGTGAGAGGACGGTGGAAAGGGGGGGTCACATTCCTCCCCCCCCGACCCAACACTGGGGCAAACATGTCCTACTGCCCCTTCCTCCAAGGGCGTGCCCTGCGAGCGGCAGCCCAGCACGTCTGGGGCGCCCAGTTGGCGAAGGCAGCTGCAGAGACCCCGCAGGGATGGGAAAGAACCCGATCCGTTCCGAGGACCGCGTTTCCCAAAGCGCTTGGCTGACCTCCTCCGGGCTCCCCTGCCTCTGGCGGAGCCATCCGACCCTGACGCCGGAATCCTAAGCGCCCGCGCGCCGCGCAGTCCTTGCGCGTTTGCGCTTGACTTCCCTGGCCTCCCCGCTCCCTGTCCCCCTCCCCAAAACAGGACTCCGCCGGCCGCCTGGTTCCGCGAGCCGCCGCCGCCCGCGGGCAGCCCCCGCCGGGGCGCAAGGCGGGCTGCAGGACCTTCTTCGGGAAGAGCCGCCCGCGCCCTCCTCGGCCCTTCCCTCCGCACCCGCGGGGCCACATGCCCCGGGACCGGCGGGGGCGCCCCTGCCTGCGCCCGCAGGCGCCCCCTGCTGCCCGCCGGCTGCCCGCGCCCGGAGCGTCCCGCTCCTCGGAGCCGCAGCGCCCGCGCGGGCGCGCCTGGCAGGGCGAGACCCGCAGCCCCTCGGCCGGCCGGGCTTTGCGGGGCCGCGGCCTGGGCGAGGCCCTTTCATTCATCCACGTTGCGCCATCGGCGCGCTGCGAAGAGAGGCGGAATTAGAAAATAGGGGGCGGCTTCATTTGGAGAAGGAAGGAAGGAATTCTGCCGCGCAGGAAAAATTAAAAAGATTCTGGGGGGAGGAGGAGGGCTGGGAAGGGCCTTGGCGGTCGGGGCTGCCTGCCTCGAGTTCAGTTTCTTGGCCGAGTCACTTCTCTGAGACCCCCCTGGTTTGCAGCTTAGCCACTGCCATGGCAGCCATTTTGTGAGAGGGTTCATGAGCCAGATTTGCCCACTGAAAGAAAAAGTTGGGATCGCAACTGTTCCAAGATGCAAAATCTGAGCTTACTGCAGCCTTTCAACTGGGCTTGCTGCAGTTTCTTGCCTTTCCTTCCCCCACCCCACGATTTCCAAGATGGCAAGTTCAGTGCAATTCCCTTTTATCCCCCCCCCCCCCCCCCCCCTTAAAAATATTGTGTTAACTGATAATGTAAAATGTCATGGTTTTTACCTCTGTCCATTTCTCTTGCTGCATGTTTGGAATAGCTTTGAATTCTCTGTGCTGTGGAAAATTATCTTTTGTGGTGGGGGTGGACTGTGGCACGGGACCCATCATCCCCAGCCAGCATAGCCATGGCAGACTGAAACATCTGGAGGCTGCTGGGTTGCTTTCACTGTGCAATGGAACTGCCCCCCTGCCCCAAAACGACGAGGTGGGCTACGGAGGTGCCTGTTCCTCAGCCATCCGAGCTCAATGTGGAAAGTGGAAACTTCTTCCAGTTAAATCATGTTCAAGATTCTCTTGGCAAACATTTCTCTGCACTGCTGAAGGGGTACGATGAATTTCACAGCCTTTGTGGCAGGAAGACCGAGCCGCTCCAGAGCTGCATCACCCGGAGGCTATTTGGCCGTGGGGGGCACGTGGATGGGGGGAAGTGTCCCCCGCTCAGAACAGTCCCACTGGGACTTGGGTGACCCATTCCACCCCCAGAAGCCCACCGATTTCCGTTCCGGCTTGGTCACAGGTCCAGGTTTACGCAGCCGGGGGTGGCTTTGCCCCCCCCCCCGGTGGGCTAAGTACTGGACCCTGGACGTCGTTCTCGGTGCGTCTGTGCTTCTCACGCATCTGCTAGCCTTCCCCCTTGACGGAGATTCAGCCTGACCAGGTGTCACGCTTTTAATGACCCCCCTGGTGGAGGGAACACGTGGGCGGGCGAGAAAGGGCAAGGGCGCGAGGCAGAGTCATGGGCGCCCACCAGGTGGATCCCGCACCCATCAGCCTCGTCCCCCGCAAGCTTCCCAGTGGTCTTCCAGCTGTCAGCTCAGCAGAACCTGGGCCTAAGCGATGCCAGTTTTGGGGGGGGGGG